TATTATTGTCAACTCTATAACACTAGAAAATATTGTCAACATAAAAATATTTTAACGGTTAAAAATATTTGTTATACATTTTGGTTAATAAAATTTACTTTTATTTAATATTTCGTTATTTTTTTCGGAATCAGCACACCAAATTACATAGAAATTAGTTAAAATTATTATAAAAGGTTTTTCGTCGTTGGCCTGTGTATTTAGAGAACCCTTTCAATATTTTTTATAAATAACCAGACCAATATTGCCGGGGTCAAACATCCCCCAAACACAAAAACGTCGGTGTGGTATAAAGCCATCTACAAAAAGTGTTGAAACAGAATAAGTACCATACTTAAAAAGGAAAACTCGGAAGACTATAAGTAAAATTACGATTTGTTTTTGTGAACTTTGAAACATCTGGCAGAAATAACCGCCGTCTGGCAGTGTTGATAATTAATTTTTAATAATATTCTGTGAAACCTAGTATAATTATTCTATTTTTTTCTTATTAAATAATATTTATTAACAAATAAGTAATTACAAATATTATTTTAGCGTTGTTTTTTATCATTTTTAAACAAAATTTGTATAAAGTCTCTTGTGTTAATAAATGCTGTTAATATGAAAATTCATTTTCAATTTTTTACACACTATGAACTATTTCAGGTTAATTTTTGATATTAACCACTATTAAATGTCAAAGTGTTTCATATATATAGTAGTAATATAATTACATTAGTTCGACAGATCTATGACCGAATAAGTACGGTTTGTCGTTGTTGCCATTGTCATCTCACGCAGCTTACTGGTTAGAGCATTGGTGCGTAAAGCCAAAGGGTTCCGAATTCGACTCCCGGCGATAACAACAGATTTTCCCTCATTAATCTGAGGTAGTTTATAGTGAATAAAAAATTGAAAATTAATTTTCACATTAATATTTGATATTGACGGTCCCGTATCAGTTATTTTTAGACAGATGAGAAACGTTTTTTATTTAATAAAACAAAAAGAGATATCGACCACTCTTTCAACTCTTGCGATATACCTGCTAAATAATTGCTCATTTAATTGTTTATACGCATATTTCGCATTAAATATTGAAAATTGTATAATATACGAGAATGATACTTTTTGCATAAAAAAATTAATGTTTTCAAATTAAAAAAAAAATTCATGAGACATGAAGCTATCAACTTGATTGACTATAATCTCAATAAAATAAAAATGTTAGAATGCGGCATAGTGTAGATTTTGTGCTGATTTTTGGTCAGGCAAAAGAGTAAACATCATTGCCATCAATTTATTTCTTCAGCTAGTTCGTGCACTGTTCAAGTTCTGGTCAAAGAAATTTATGTAACCATACCATAATTAATACATAAGCAGGTAGATGACCCAAACAAGCTCTAGCTTCAGTTATGATATATTAATCTAATAAATTGTTTCAAGGGAGCCACACTAAACAGACCTTCCTTGCCATTTTTATTTTAATGTATCTTGTAAAAGAGGTTGCCTGGTTTGAAAACGACTTGTTTAAATCATTAATACGACCCCTTGACTACTCATTTTTATTTCTGTATTTAATATCTGTCTAAAATAAATCGTTTTTTTCAAGATGATACTTCTACGTTTTTTATATAAAGTTGTAATTCTTTCAAATATCCACGGAATGATTATTTACTTCTAACATGTGTATAAATATACCACAAGTCTAAACATAAAAAACCGTAAAATACTATATTGACAAAAAGGGGGATTTATTTTACACTTCATGGAAATAAAACAAAAGCAATAGCATAAAATGCCAGTTACAAATCAGAAATAACCCCCTCCCACATCCTATTTTAACTTAAACTGACCTAATAATACTTATAACGAAAACTGTTTACTCTACAAAATTTGGACTTCATTAGTTGGATACTCCTGAACGGTTTTTTCATTCTAATTTTCATCATACATTGATCAGCATGGTTCACTAAGAATTAACGGCTTCATCATTTTTTAATATTAGATACCTATTTTAGCTTTCAATTTTACATAAAAAATATCTTCTGATTCAGTAGTATGTAAATTATTTTACAAATCCTATCAATTTTGTAACCAATTAGAATTTAAGTGTGACAACAACTTAAAAGTAATCACCACAAATACCAAAATCGAATAATGATTATGCTATTGTCTTTTAACTTACGCTACGTTCATTCTTGCTCTTTCAATGAAACTTTTTGGTCTGACAAGGCGGCTTTTTGCTTCTGGACTTGCAGCTGGACTATGTGCCAATGTTTGATCATAACTAGTATTAAGTTGCTCTCCATTGAGAATGGTTGGTGAGTATCCATTGTTAGAATCATAATTATCCTTACTCCAAGTATTTATCTACAATGTTTCAAAAATGCAATAAAAAACTACCACTATAAAAGTTATTTACGGGCTCATTTATATCCATATGTGTATATTCTACTGAAAATTTTAATGTTTATATAACAGTAACTAAAGTAACTAAATTTCCTCTATTTTCTTATTAAAGTACATTAGCTTATGAAACCATCATAAACTTCTGAAAGCATTGAAAATATACCTTACTCTATGAATTGCTAGTAACTATTTTTTTTATCAATTGTACTTACGTTACTCAATGGGGTGCTTATTGGTGAATTTAATGGTGGTTTTTGAGGTGTTACTGGAGCACAAAGAAAAGCTGTTTTATCCAAACTGCCTGTGCTACCAGCAGGGCTTGTGTTTGCTATAAAAGTGTTGGTGTCAGCTGGTAAGTGAGGTTGACCATTTTTATGACTAGAATTTTGCTCCAATTTCTTCTTAGGTAAATCTTTATAATTATATTTCAAATGATTAACTTCCAAAGGTTTACAAAATGATAGTTCTTCTGGATGTCTTATTCCCAAATCTTTACAAACAGCAACAACAGCTGAAAACGTTTTAACAGAAAAATCTACTCTCATATCTAAGTATCTTAAGTCTGGCAATTGCACTTTTAAATTTTTGTGCATAGGAGTAAAATACAATAAAGCATCTCCATGTACTCCACACTGATCAAGTGTAGATTTTGTACGAGTCAACCAAATATTTCGTTGAGGCCACCAAAGTGCATGATCTGACCAATCCATTGAAATTTCTGGAAAAAAAAGTAAAATATCTCAAAGAAATATTTTATACAAAACTAAACTTTTTTAAAAAAAGGTTACTGTGTATGTAGCAAATTGGGGCATATTAAAAAAGGTGCAACTTTTTGAAAAATGATTTAGATGATTGAAACTGCATAACGTTCCTTAATGGACAGTTAAAAATATTGAAGATCTCAAGGAAGTTTGTGTGGTTTTGGTCACTTGTTGTAAGTCCTTTGCCATACAACCTCTGCAATTTATAAAAAGCCTAATTTTGCTGTAATCATATTTACAACTTATATACAAAACAGCATATCAAAGTGAAGAATTTGTAATAAGTTTCAACAGTGTTTGTATTATATGTTGCCGATAAACTAATCAAAGTAACTCTATACGACTGCAAGGTTGATAGATATTTAAAAAATAATTACTAATACGGAACCAAAGCAGTCATTAATTCGAAAATCAAAAAGTATGTAACTGAGGTCATACAATGAACATGCAATATGCGGTCAATTATTATTGCAAACTTGCTAAAAAGTCTGTTTACCTAGTTCCTCTACAAGTTTCAACATTACACCCCCAATGTGCAAATCACCTCGAACTCGAAGACTCCTCTCAGTTTGTAAATCCGTAACGTACACTCGTAAAGTCCAAGATCCATCACCGATTATTTGCCCGTTTGATAGCATCTTGTTTATGTTTCTTTACTTTTTTCAACGAAATTTTAAATGTGAATTTTACACATCTGTTCGACAGTACCAAAAATGCAAAATTATAGCATATTACAACACTTACGTCATCTATTTATAAAGGTGTATTACACGATCAGTGTATTTACATGTACTATATAAATATANAAAAATTTAGATATTTTTACTCTAAATTACAGTTATAAGCTAGGAGTAAGTCGGCTAATTTCTAAAACTTATCCATGTCCGGGAAATATTTTTGCAGTGAGCTTTTATTACTGATGACAAATGCTGTACCACGGAATCTTCAAATTTAATCTTGTCAGCTTTATCGTTTTCCAGTTGCTCACAAACTTGTGAAAACATGGTCATATCGCCAATGTGAACTCTACGTTTGTATAGTTCCAATTTGCGAATAAAGCTTGCTACTTTGTTTTGCAATATTAAAATAATGGTCATATTTCCCTGTAGCGATAGCGTAGGTACACTTTGCGCGCTAGTCGGCGCTCAGACTTGTTATTTTGAAATTCGGCATTCGAGACAACCGGCTCATTGTCACCTCTCCGAAATACATGTTTTACGCCCGCGGGGGTAATAACCCCCAGGTTAGGAATCACGGCTCTAAATATTATATTCTGAATCTCTATTTCTTGAGTCATTTTCAATCCTGTCCGTCATCGTTCCGTCCGTAGTCCTTTGCCTTGTCAGTGTTTTGTCTGTGTACGTCCTTCCTTACATTCGTTTCATTAATAAATAATTTTTGGTACCCAACTGTAGCCTGGTTTCCCTTTTCTTTTTCTAATTTCGCTTTCAACCCTATCGCCCTTTGAATTTTTCTTTGTTGTTCTATGAGGTCGCTGTCTATGTACATTTTATTTTCTTTTAAAAATGAAATTTTTCTTTTTGTCTGCAGGATTTCAATTTTCTTCTAAGTTTTCTACTTATATCATCCATATATTGTCGTTAATTGTTTTTGTTGATTTTACTATTTTGTCGATTTTGAATATCTCCTTCATAAACTTCATTAGCGCTAATTTCGTCTCGACCTCGCTCTTGTTTTAATTAGTTCCTTAATTTTGTTCCTTGTTATCACTATATTATTAGCAAATATATCCTGGATATCTCCATGCCCGTTCTTTTCCTCTTGTTTGCTTCGTCGTCCGAAAGTTCTGAAGCACTGTCAAGTGTATATGGCATTTTTGTTGTTTTTCCTACCTTAGCCGGCTCAGACGGTCTATTTCTAGTCGACCTCTAGGAGAATATATGCCGCTCACAGGTTAACGCTCGCGTATTGAATTTCACTTCTATTATTGTTTTCTCATTTTTTTTCCTCACGTACACTAAACACACCTAGCACTAATTTCTTTATTTACTCACTTTTCACTTTATTTATGCTCGAAACCTTCCGAATTCAGATTTAATTTTGGAGCGAAATTCAACCAAATATGGCCACGTCAACTGTTTTCTTATAGCTATTGTTAAAATTTATTATTTATTTCTATGCGAAAAGTTTTCTGGGCTGATGGCCGTGATCTATTTAGATTTTCTCCACCGTAGTTGTGGACGAAATGTCAGTAGAAAATCCACAGTTCACCAGCCTGGAAAACATTTCACATATAATTAACGCCGACCGTGAAAGCCTACACTTACTTATTTTATGAGAAATTTATATATTGTTAATCAGAGAAAAACAACTTTACTTCACCTCAGACAACAAAAAACAGCGATGTCATTAGACTAAGAATTGGAAATGTTTTGTCAGACTAATAACTTATTCAATGAGTAGTACAGGCAAGGCTATCCAGTCAACCTGCTAACATATCAGCTACACATTTATTTTTAAAAATTACGCGATAAATTGTTTTTGGAATAATAAATTAGCTATAAATACTGTGCTGCAATGACTGTTCTAACTTAATATGCCTAATAGTAATAGTTTTTGCAAATAATTAAACAACATATTGGACCAAACTAATTTACACAATATTTGCATTGGATATAAAGCAATTCTTTTAAAGTACGAGGAGAAATCGAGCATGCTACAGTTCATACGTTTTATAAAATTTTGTCCAAAATCAAATGGATTTGTTTCTTTTTCATATTAAGTTATATTAGAAAACGAAAAAAAGCGCATGAATAACGAAATAGGAAATGCACTGAAAAGGAAAACTAATTTACCTACTTTTTTGTTACTTATTAAATAATCACAAATTCGGTAAAAATTTAAAATACCTTCATATTATTAAATCTCCAAGTTTTAAGGTGATCTCCATTATTAATATCCAGTTTCATGAGACGATTGTGAGCGACCCCTAAGAGTTCATCTTTTTTGCATCCCATAAATCTTACAACAAACAGTGTAACACCATATTCCGGTAATGATTGCCAAGCTTTTATATAATTTAGTTTTGCTTCTATTAAAGGCAGATGTTTCACATTTGCATGAGCTTCTAATATCTTATGAACTAGCTGAAATGAAATATATACCCACATTATAATTGTTTAAATTAAATGTTCTGTTTCATAGAATAAGCTTTCACAACTACATTCCTCTCCTTATACAATAACTTTTCAACTTTTCTTATTATTACAAATAAAACTCAAAGAATAAATAAAAATGAATAAACTGCGGAATATTAAAAGAATTTAAATTAACACTTGAAGCAAAATGATTCAACCAAAAGGACTTCCCTAAATATCACAATATATTGAAAAAACGCACACACATGCTTCGACCACTTGCATAATTTTTCTGGGTGTTGTGTATTTGGGGTAAGTTCTCTTAGTTTAATTATTTACTTTGCCACAATACCTTTAATAAATTTCTATTTTTAAGAAGCAATATGAATAATCATTCTTTCTGATGATCAATGTCACAATTTAAATAATAAATATGTATAACGTACATTAATAGCAAAACAAGAAATTAAACGAACACAAAATACATTTCACGTTCTTAAAAGCCTTTAAAAAAACTAATACTTGACAATCTTTATAAAATCAAGCAAAAATCTTCGGGTATTTCGTTTAGTAAAGAAGCATTACCTTTCCTTTTAACTTTCTCAGAAACCTAGGAGCAACAAAATCTTCTGGTTGAATATTATAACTGTTTGGGTCAACTGTAGGACTGTTGGTTGGTTTTTGCATTTGTAGAAAGTCAAGTATGGTTTTTACTTCCGAATTATAAGAACTATCAGCCAATGATCTTCCTTTAGATGCTAATCTGCAAGCAGCCATCCACTTAGCATACTGATGTTCCTATAAAAAAGCTAATTGAGATATAGCAATTCAAAGAGTTAGTTTTGCATACATCGTCACATCGAATGTATATTTCACACATTCCTTCTGAACTAGGCACTTCCAGTTTTATGCCAAATTTATTTTGACCGATATTTACATCAGGAGTTGCTTCACAGCCTTTCAGATTAATAGAATGAGCCGGCACACCATGATGTATCATTTCTTCCTTACTTTTGTACAAGTATAGATGCAGATCTTTACAAGTAAACCAATACTTCTTAAAGGCTTTCAAGGTGTACCTTTTAGGCCTATAAGAAAATAATATATTATATCTACTACCAGTCATTATTTTGAAAACTTCAATTTAGATCTTTGAAATGAATGTGATTGAGTTTAACAGTGTTGAATTATCATAAAAAATAATAACGTAGTAATTTACCAAATACATAGAAGTATTTCTTACAGATACTGTAAACTTATTAATTAGTACTGTATCGTATTTACACTTACTTCAAAAATCTGAGTTCATCACACAGTTCAGGCACTTGTGTTATGTCATTTTGAAAGGATATATTAGCACCTTCTAATGTGTTTTGCAAATCTGAAAGAGCTGCATCGATATCGTCTTCATTACCAGATTGAAAATTTCCATTTTCTGAAATGTGCTGTGGCTCAATGCCTTGTAAACTAATTTGTAACTGAAATAATAAAAATCATACAACACTAATAAAAATTGTTTATTAAAAAATAACTATTCAATGGGCTTAAGCATCCTTGATTGGATTGAATTGTTGATAATACTCTTAGGTCTGATCTTGTTCTAAGCATATAAAATAAAAACACACATTTACTTGTTATTTGCTACACTATAAAGAAAAAATGTTTCAACAAGTGTTTATTCAACTAGATAATTGTTTCGGCCTTACCTGCCATTATCAAGAGAAATTATGAGAGATGAATAACTAGACTAAGAAATGATCTTTTAAACTATAGGTACTTAAACTTAAATTAAAGGATGGGGATTATAGGACAGTTTAAATTTAAAATTNTAATTTTTTCTCTTTCTTGAAATCATTACAAGGAATAAATATCGTCCGTAATATTTGACGGCGTACATGGAAATATCTATTGCTTGTACTTTACTCAAAATTTAGTAAGTATAAAACTTCACCTTAATCGGCTTTTATTTAATCATGACATTCACGAATGACTTATTTTAAACTATAGGTACTTAAACTTAAATTAAAGGATGGGGATTATAGGACAGTTTAAATTTAAAATTTTATAATTATCGATCAGCAGTGTGTTATGTTTTTTCATCTTGTTAACAATCAAAATAAGAGATCGGTATATAGTCGAACCTGGTTAAGCGAAAACTGGATAAGTGAGCAACCTAAATAAACGACAAAAATAGTCAGGTCCCGTCATTTTTAGCCCCGAAAACCTCTATGAGTGACAGTGTGAGTACCACTTCTAGAGTGTCATTTTTCACTTCTAGACCTCTGTAAGTGACAGTTTCTTACTCAAAACCTCTGCAAACGAGACTGTTTACAATTACTAGACATCTGCAGCTTGTGCGCTTGATCCTACCTGCTCATGGTACTCATCCTCAGCATTTGGTTTCAGTTGATAACAATCATTGGAGAAAGTACATTTGACGTTGTTCCCTCACAATGTTGAAGCAAAAAATTAAAGTGATTTCATTTTTTACAAAATTTATGAAATTGAAAAACATATTCAAAATTGTAAAGAGGATACTCAGAAAAAATTAACTGATTTTTAAAAATAAATAAAATGAGTACCTATTCATCGCCAAATGTGTATATACTTATGTATTACGTATTTCTTAACGCTCTAGCACCATCTTTATGTTCGATTATTATTAACCTCTATAAATGAGAAAACTCTATTAGTGAGAATAATATTCGGGTCCCTTGAGTTCTCGCTTACCCAGGCTTGACTGTATATCACACCGCTGATAGTTATAAAATTATAAACGTATATGTTTAGGAGGTGTTCATTATTTTAACCTTAGTTACATTTTTTGCACCCTTGATAATAACCGATTAGGTAGAAACTATTGTCAAATTGAATAAATATTTGTCGAAACACACCTTCTGTTTTCCTTATTCAATGGGTTCTAACCAGCAATCCATTCAGTTGCCTATTATGTATACACAAAAAATGCATCAAATAAAACTTTACCTGTAAGGCAGCAAACATGAGCATTTCTTCTTCGGTGCAGTCAATTTCTTCATTAAGTAATTGCCACCTTGATTGTTCATATATTTGATTAATTCGAACAGCGTCATATTTAGGATTCAAATCATAAAATGAATAAAATTTAAACCGCAAACATAAAGTGTCAAATTCTCGAATACCCTGTTCCATGATCGATAATGATGAATCTAGCCACCTATAAGAGTGTTTGTAATTAGTCAATTAATATAGGCATCCAAATTTGGATGAGTAGGTACTGTTATCGATGGTGCATAGCACATTTTAATCATTGCGAACCCCTATTTAATAACCTAATGTAAGCACTTAGTGTACAGCTCTTTACATATGCTGTATTTAGCTCTCACTCTAATACATCTGTAATAAGCATTCTTTTCACATATTTTTTTTAATATGATTAAACCAACCTCACTCTCACTTACCATATCACTATACTCTATCAAATCAGTTAACTTAATAGTTAAAAGGTTTCTTTGAATGAAAATTTTAAAAGGGCAGGCTTAATTATGACTCAAGTAATTTCATTTTATCACTCATATCTGAGAGAAGAGTTGAAGTTAAAACTAATTGTAACATGATCGTCGCATTGATTATAGAAGAAGTTCAATTATTCTTAAATTTTTAAGGGGGAGGTTAATTTCTAATTACTAACAAAAGTTTAGTAAAAACTATGCCCTTATAAACTTTTTAAATTTCCTTTTAGTTTTTTAATTCTGTTAATAATTAAAATTAAAAATTATCAGATGCCTGCAACTTTCACTAGTCTTACTTTTTCGGAGTTAGTCTTTATTTATTTGCTAAGCAATATGTAGTCACATTTAAATCTAAGTAGTTTCCGAAATACTCTAATGGGTGGTCACTATGAGATACCCTGTATATTATATATAAATAAACACAAATTTAATCCCACCCTCTATTCCAACTATTTCTAAGTCGAATATGTCATAATTGTCAATTTCTACTTAATTTATTCTGATCAAAAGAAAGCACCCAGCATATCGAAAGTAGCACTTGCTATTTTTACTTTCATCTTTGTAGAATATTAAATTATGGGAAAAGATAGACCTATACGATTTGATTACAAGACAAAAACTTTTTTTTCGTTTTCATTATATAATCACTCATTTATATTTTCCAAACCGCTTAATAAAGTCGGATAAAATTTTAACAAAACCCTATTATACCCCTATATGCGGTAGCAATTTTTTTTTCTATAAATTAAATTATCTCAGAAACTATTCATCGTAGGCATACAAGTTGGTTCTCAAAGTTACCCTAAAATTTGGTGTTTCATACGAATTCGTCGTAATATATATACCATTCCATTTAAAATAACAAAGTTGGCATCAACTTCCGATGTAACCGGAAACGCCTGACAGTTGAAAAAGATCATCCTTAAATACCCGTACTGCCAAATTTTCAGATCTCTTACAGGCTTAGTTTCCCAAAAACGTTTAATGTATCACTCAATTTGAAGAACCTAGTATAATTATTCTATTTTT